GCCGCCCCCCCCTCGATGAAACTAAGGCGCGAGGATTCTTTCAGCACCCAAACGCCGCTTTCTACCCGGAAAAGCTCACCGGAAGCACTTTTTCATCAAAACAAGATGGTGGCACCCAGCAAACCGGCGGCCCGGTAGAAATTGTTCCACGGACCGGTCCCGGTCCGGGGACCGGTGGTTGGGGACCCCTGCTCTATAAAACACATAGGCTTTAAATTAAAACAGCTTCTATGAAGAATAATTTAGAGAGAAATGAGCCCAGCACTACATCAAACGCTTTTCCAAATTTTAATCTATGACATTAAGTGGAATATGATATTCTCTTATGGATTAAGAATTGTATGTTAATCATCTTAAATAGTGCAGATGCATGTAGAGAAAAATGGATAGAATTTCAGAGACATCAGATACATCCTTATCAAAGTATTAATATATTTATTTACATTTTATAATTATATACAACATATAGTTCTTCCAGTAATGTCTGGCTTCAGTCCCATGGCTTCAACATGAGGCACAGAGGCACTTTGATTTATTCAGTCCAAACCCTTGCATTTATCAAGAGCACACAATTAATAAAATGGAAACCATGAAACAACTAGCTTTAAAACAGTTTGGGGGGGGGGAGGTCATAGTCCACAGAATTCAGTTTTCAATTATGTCTGAATTTTCAGTCTTCAGAAGCACTTTAGAGAAACTGTTCTTCATGGGAAGTCATTTGCCTTAATTGTGGTTCCTATTCACTTGGCATCAGTAGAGAACCTCCGAAGCAATGAAGACACTTGATGCTTTCCAATATTTTAAATAACAGTTTTACAGTGAGATGGCCATGATACTCGCATTTCTGTATTCACATAGATGTATAGCCACATTACAAAAGGAGAAAGACAGAGGAAAATTGCCATGACCAAGTGAAATCCACCCAGGGAATTTCTGGAAAGAAACAAGCAGAGTTTGCTGAAATACAATCCAATTCAACGCAATTAACAAGAACTCAGAAATATGAATTATTCTTGGTTTTGTAAAAGTACATTGACATGACTTCTGGAATTGATAAAGAAGTTATACAGATAGTCCTCAGTAACCACAACTGGGACTGTCAACTCTACCACTAAACTGGAACTCCCGTCTCCCCACTCAACTACTCGAGCAAAGTTTAGTTCTCTATGCTAAATACACATCAAGGACTAAATAACTTGCTTTTCTCTTTAAAAGAACTTCATCTCCAACTATAACAAGACAGCAAAAATCAGCCATCCTTGGCATATCCTTTGATTACATAATATATTTGTCAGGGTAAGCACAAGTTTTCAATGTATTATTAAGCTGGAATTGGCAAGTTAAAAGACTCACTTGGCTGAATTACGACAAAGGCTCATCCAGGCAGTAACAATCACCAGACCAAATAATTCCCTGTTTTTAATCAAATACAACTGTAAGTTACACAAAATTGATCCCAGAAAATAAACTATATGCAAAGAAAGTCTTTGCTTATAGTTACAACAGCATTAACTCTGTTAGTACTGAATAAGCACATACTTACTAAAAGAATATACTTGCAGTTTAAGAAATGAAAAAAATACTACTTGAGGAAAATTTACCGTTAATAGTTGGGAGTATTAACACAATCCTATCAAAGTCACAGTTTGATAGAGAATGCAAGGTACTTCCATTTTAGACGAGGTATAAGCATTTCACTTGACTTGGGCACTATCCAATCAATGTCATACATTCTTATATTAAAACATATACATCAATTGTAATAAGATTGGTTGTAGTTTGGTTACATTCAGCATCTTCATGATAAAATATAACATTCTACTTAAAGATAAAAAAACTAGATTACATAGCAACTTCAGATAAACCTGAAAAATATGTGTGTGCACCATTAAAAAAATCAGACTATGTTCGATGCTTTGTATCAAATGTTAGTAAGCTTAGATTGCAGGATAAAGTTTTCTACGATTTCTTTCTATTAATTTTCTTGGCACATCAAAATATATGATGTGTCTCAGGAATTTGTTCTAGGGATTTCAAAACTTTAAATCATTCTAATTCCTTAGATCTAGGGTAGCTTAAGGGTCTCACAATTGTTAAGGATAAGAGCTATGATGATCATGAAAATATGAATTAATGCAGAAAAGATCTCATTACTTACCTGCCTTCTTCCTCGTGCAAGATGTTATTTTGAGCAGTAGTAACCAAGGAATATCCCAACGCAGCAGAACCCACAACACAAACAGCTGAATGTAGATCTGATATACTCCTCCACACAATGTTATCTGGAAAATGTGGTGAGTTATTTGTACAAATCACAATGGAATTTGCACATTGAATTCATTTGGTCTTGATCAATTTCTTCAAGAGCCTTCAAATAATAATTGCAGAGAAAAAAATCTTTAGATTTGGGATTTATTTCATAAAATTGAATCATCAAACAAGAAGCAGCATTTTTCATGCATGTTAAGATATCTAAAACAGCTGTATTTTGAAAATTAAAAATATAGGAGATATTGAAAAGAGAGAGTAGCTAACAGGCCACATTAGATACAGATAACACATAAGGAAATGACCATATACTATGAAATCTCAAGGAAACTAATCAGCATATGGTAGGTTTCTTCATTCCAAAAAGAGAAAGAAGGGTAGAAGAAAATATCAGAAATGATAGATTTCAATTGACTTTGAATATGTTGATTAAAACATATAAATATAATATATATGCAAGCATATGTAGCTAAACAACACATGGGTTTATACAATATAATGTAGAATGCTAGGCATATCTAAGAATGCTTAAAATGTTACTATCATATTCTGCCTTTTCAACCAAAGAATTGAAATATGCTCTATTCATGGCTCTGCCTTTTTTTCTCACAAAAATTCCATAAAATCGATTAAGCTGAAAACCAGCAGTGATTTAACATCTAAACTCCCCATCTCTTTGTCCAATTATACTGTTTCCAATATCACAATTGTGAAGATATTTTTAGAAAAGAAAAGGAATTGAGTTATAAATAATTATAACCATCAACTATATTCCAAACAGCATCTACCAAAAATGGAAGAATGTACTACCCTTATACAATTTTATGATTTCAATGTTCAGTATATTGCCTAGTAATATTTTACAAATATAAAGTCATAGTTTAAGAATGTAGTTAACAATTTTTAGTTAGTTGGATGGAGCAATAAAGCTTATTGCTAAATTATCAAAAAGCAAAGGAGATGAATACCCAGAATCTATCATTAGAAGAGTGATGACTTTTGCCCAATAATACTATACCTGTAACTGATGGATTAAGGCTTACTACCAGTGCAAGACTTGCTGGCACAGAGTACACAACCTAAAGCGAGATATATCAAATATATTTTGTAAATAAATGAAGCTAGAAAAAAGGAAAATGGAAAGTGTTCAATCCCAAAGACCAGATAAATAAACAAGTCTCAAAATTGCATCCTCAGGAGAGATAGGAAAGCTGTATCTTATTGTCAAAGGAATAAAGACCTTAGAATAGCAAAAAAAAAAAAAAAAAGTTCCATTGTGCTTTAAACCACTGACATTTCACAAAAAGAAATGATTTGCCAAAGAAATCATCCATCCACCATCAAACAGACCTACCAAGCCGAATGTGATGATTACAAGTGAAATTATTTCTTATGAATATTTTGTTTACTTGGGGAAACAATCAGTGTATGTGGAGAAGTAAACTGCACGCAGAAGAACTGTAATTTAGGTGTTATGTTTAGTTTTGTTATTAGTAATTCAAGTTCACTCCATAGTATTTGTACCATTAGAAGCAGATGCAGTATACCAGCTGTGAACTCTCAAGGAAGCTCCACATTAGGCTGCTGTACAAAGGGTTAGCTCTGAAAATTGTTCAGCAATGGCAGCAAAAGTGCAATTACAAGTGCACAATAGGACCAAATTTTGCTCATTCATGTACAGCAGCCTTTTATAGTAAATAAAATCTATTTACTTACTAGAGGCATGTACTTAATTTGAAATTTCAGTACAGTAATTAAAAAACTATATTCTGCAATTTAAAGTCCTCCCCCAGATGCCATCATTAATTGCTTTTAGGTCCAGTTTTGTATTTATTCTATGTGCAGCAGGTGGCAGCATTTAATCAATCATGGCTGATCTTAAGGAAAACAGGCCTAGTCTGATAAGCACCTTAATAAAAGCAGGATTTTAAAAAGTACCACCTCAGTAAAAATGTTAGGACATAATAGCACAGCAAGGGACAAAACCATATTTATACTCACTATCCAAAGTCCAGGATCAGGGTCATTGATCTGCAACAAAGAAAGCAAAAATAATTGCTATAGGGCTCTGATAGGCTCTGATATTGAATGGCACATAAAATCAAAATCTCTCAAGATGAACCATAAGTCACTATCAGCTTTCCTTGCTCAATCTGTGGAAAACTTACTAGGGATCTTTTCTCATTGATAAAAGATCATGAACAAATGTTATTTCTTGAAAACTACATGAGGACTGAAAAGCAACTGCAAACCTCTAAGACTGGGCTGATATATCTACAGTTAAATTGTGTGCACCTTTGACAAACCTGACTGATGCCAACTCAGTGGTGGCTCCATCTGTAGTATTTACTTTAAAAAGCAACATCAAATCACTTTCAAGTTGTGCTTAAAACTTGGTGACCACAAGGACTTTTTCCATATAGTTTCTTAACAAGAATACACACCAAATACTTTTTCAGGACTTTTCACTTGCCAAATTGTGGATAGAGATAAAATAGCAGAATAGTGGCAAAAGAGGCTGATTCGAAACTAGACTGAAAACAGCTCGCCCATCCTCCATTAATATGTCCACTGGCCACTAGATCCATCACCAAGGTAAGAAGCATAAGAGCTTTTACATATCTTGAGTGTTGGATTAAGGAGAAAAATTCTGCTTTGGGGCCATTCCAGCCTTGCTCTCAGATCGGAGAGGAAGTAAAGCCAATTCTTGCAAAAGAAGACAGAAAATGGTAGTGTCAGCTGGATAAATGGGGAGAGGCCCTTACCTTGAGCAGCTAAGGTCAGGGGAAAGTCCAAAGTTAGAGAATAGACTGGAACATCAAAAAAAATCTCAGAATGAGACCTTGGCAAACCACTTTCCTATTGTTGCCAAGATTACTACAGGTACGGGTGATGCTTCTCAGAATGAAGTCTTGACTGTTTACGCTTTTAAAGTTGCTCCCGCCTCTTCCTACCACTCCAATTGGAGTCGGTAGACGATCGGGTGAAGGGAGAACTCTGCCTTCTCTTGAGACCCCATTACTCGAGTCTTTCCCCAACTCGGGACCCTTCCAGGTTCTGTCCCTCGGCCACTGAGTTCTGGCCTGCGCTACTCCGGAGATTAGCCTGCCCAACTCCCGCGCACCCTTTGTCCCTGTCAACACACTCAGCCAGACCTGAACGGCTCCAGCCAGCCCGAAGAAGACGGCCATGATCAAGTTGCTAAGCCTCCAGAGCCTGCTGGCACCCGGGCGAGGAGGCGAAGTAAAACAAGCAGCCTCCATTGCCCGGAATTACGACTTGCCTTTCCCAGGCCGCCCTGCTGGATATACGCGGCCCTAAGCGTAACCTTCTTTCAAAGCCCACCCACTCTTCCCACGCACACCAGCGCTCGGGACGTCCCTACCAAAGGAGCCGGAATCCCCGCCTCTTGTCTTTTCAGCGAGCTCAAGATGGGGGCAAGTAATGCATGTGGTACGGCAGCCGTAACAGCCCGTTACTGATAGGCAGCTAATTTGGAGACACGACTTTGGATCTTCTGTTTGTAAATAAACAGTCAGGCCTTGATGACTGATGGAAGGAAGCCAGAGTTTCGAAGCTGACTTGACTTCTTCCTTTTCAAGTGGGCACAACTTCGACTTTCGTTGTCAAGACTGGAGGCTATCGTTTCTTTGAAATTATTTTTAAAAAGTACCTAATGAGCTGCCAATAAAATCATAAGGAAGGAATATGTAGAAACATTGAACATTAGATGACTGAAACATCTCTTTGATTTATTGCAGAAGTGTTATTTATTTATATTGCAATGAATTATTTATTGTCATTAAGATTTCTGCAGTTCTGGCTCCAATTGGTTGTTGGAAGTAAATGATTAATGTAGGTAATGTGAGTTTTGGCACAAACATATATAGTGCATTCAGAAAGTATTCAGACCCCCTTCACTTTTGTCAATTATGCCGCAGCCTGATTCTACAGTTGTTGAAATTCTTTGTTTTTTTCATTAATCTATACTCAGTATGCCATAATTACAAAGTGAAAACAGAAATTTTGAAATGTGTATACATTTATTAAAAAGAAAACCAAACTGAAATATCACATTGGTATAAGTATTCAGACCTCTCACTTAGTACTGTGTTAAAGCACCTTTGGCAGCAATTACAGCCTTGAGACTTTTTGGGTATGACACGTTTTGGACACCTGGATTGGGGGATTTTCTCCAATTCTTCCTTGCAAATCCCTTGCAAGCTCAGTCAGGTTGGATTGTGACCATCGGTGGACAGCCATTTTAAGGTCCCTCCAGAGATATTCGATTGGGTTCAAGTCAGGGCTCTGGCGGGACTACTCTAGGACATTCAGAGTTGTCCTTAAGCCACTCATATGTTGTCTAGGCTATATGCTTAGGTTTGCTGTCATATTGGATAGACTGTGTGCTTAGGTTTGCTGTCATATCAGACTTTGGCCCAGTCTGAGGTCCTGAGTGCTTTGGAACAGGTTTCATTGAGGATATACCTGTATTTTGCTCTGTTCAGCTTTCCCTCAACCCTGACCAGTCTCCTAGTTCCTGCTGCTGAAAAACACCATGCTTCACTGTTGGGATGATATTGGGCAGGTGATGAGCTGTGCTTGGTTTGCTCTAGACATAACATTTAAGAAGGAGGCCAAACAATTCAATCTTGGTTTCATCAGATCAGAGAATCTTGTTCCTCCTTGTCCTTCAGGTGCTTTTTTGTGAACTCCAAGTGGGCTTTCATGTATTTTGCACTGAGGAGTGGCTTCTGTCTGGTCATTCCACCATAAAGTCCAGATCCGTGGAGGGCTGCAGTAATGGTTGTCCTTCTGGAACTCTGTCCCATTTCCACAGGATCTCTGGACACCAGTTGGAAAGATCATCGGATTTTTGGTCACCTCTCTTACTAAAGCCCTTCTCCCCTGATTGCTCAGTTTGACCAGGTGACCAGCTCTTGGAAGAATCCTGGTTGTGCAAAACTTTTTCCAGTTGAGAATTATGGAGGCCACTGTCATCTTAGAAACCTTCAGTGCAGCAGAAATTTTTTGTAGACTTCCCCAGATCTGTGCCTTACAATAATTCTGTCTCTGAACTCTGCAGGCAGTTCCTTTGACCTTATGGCTTTTGCACTGCTACAGTATGAATTGTCAACTGTGAGGCCTTCTATAGCAGCGGATACCAATGGGCCATGAGAAAATTGTGATGGGCTGCAGAGAAATGTCACTCCCAGAGCATCCCCCAAAGCAATTAATCCAAGCTGCGCAGAAACACAAGACTGTTCTGCTGTGCCAGGAGATTTAGATTAGCTAGGAAGCAGGAAATTGTTGGATTTCTTGCTTTCTAGCTAGTCTTTAGATCTTCGGCTCTGCTTTTAAGCACAGCCGAACCTCCCTTAGGACTGAAGGTTCTATTATTCAGTGCAGACTCACGGCAAGCAAATTTTATTTGACTCAGGTAGCCGATGGCAGATAGATCTCTGAATGAATCTGTGATTGTGTGAGCAACTCAATCTGCCTTCTTTGCCTGATTTTGGGTAAAAATCTTAATTTTTTAAATTTAATTTAATTAAAAAAAATCAATATTTATATATTTATAATATTTACATACAAGCCATGCCCAGCCAGTCACATGACCACCAAGCTACACCCACAAATTAGGTCATGTCCACAGAACCAGTTAGTGGTCCCTGGGATTTAAAATTATGAGTTTGGTGGTCCCTGAGGTCCAAAAGGTTGGCAACCCCTGTTCTATAGAGAGGTGTGTGCCTTTACAAATCAGGTCCAATCCATTTAATTTACCACAGGTCAACTCCATTCAAAATGTAGAAACATGTCAGCCACAATCAAGAGAAATGGGGGACACTAGAGCTAAATTTCAAGTGTTTCTGCAAAGGGTCTGAATACCTATGCCAATGTTCTTTTTCCCCCCTTTTTAATAAATTTACAGACATTTCTAAAATTCTGTTTTCACTTTGTCATTATGGGGCACTGAGTGTATATTAATGAGGAAAAATGATTTTCAATGACTGTAAAATCAGGCTGTAGCATAACAAAATTGACAGATATATAGATGTAGATGTCATACATTTTGTCTCATAGCAATTGCAACATGCTCTGATAGTGCAGATCATTTACAGCAGTCTATTGTCATAGATTGGTCCCTCTCTTATTGTATTCTAGCTTACTGATGTCAGTTCCCCCACAGGGAGATAGGGCCTGTTTAATTGGGCCACCTCCATCCCACGTGACTGATGGATCTTATGTGGTTCCTCCTTCTGACTTCCCTTGAAAATCTGTTGTGCAATTTGGATGAGGCCATAATCACTACTGGAATGGGCAGATGGCCTCTCCCTGTGTACCAATCCCAGGCACACATTGGTTTACTGAGGACCTCTGGGAGATGAAGCATTACAAGAAATCCTTGGTGTGCCCTTGGAATAATCACTGTGTTTAATCAAACATGAAAAAGAGCCCAGCCTGATATTTAGGGTTAGCGAGTCCCCACTGAATAGGCATGGCCACCTGCAAGACTGACATGAGGAATTGTTGTTTGACAGATAAAATTGATTAGATCTACCATAAGTTGGACATTGATAGGGCAGGTCAGACCAAGATGCTTAGGGTTTGGGCTTGTGATCTAATTTAGGATGAATTGGACTTGGTAATTCCTGAGGAAATGACTAGGGTTCTCAGTGCTGTTAGTTCAACCACCTGTCTGCTGAACCCTGGTCGATGCCATGGTTTTGGCCTCTTTGAGGAAGAGGATAGTATCTCTGCCCTTTAAAGAGATGGTATATCCCCATGATGGCAAACCTATGGCATGTGTGACAAAAGTGGTACATACAGCCCTCTGTGGGCATGCGAGCCGTCACCCCAGCTCAGCTCCGCCACACATGTGCATGTGCCTCCTGCCAGCCAGCTGGTGTTCGGGTCTCGGGGATGTACGTGCATTTTGGGGATGTGCATGTGCATGCTTTGTGCACTCGGTGCCGAAAAGGTTAGCTCTCACTGGTATATCCCTTTCTCAAGAGGCTGCAGTTGCACCCAATGGGTTTTAGGTAAGTACTGGCCCATCTCCAATCCTCCTTTTTTATGGAAGGTTGTTGAGACTGTAGCTGCTGAGATCCCTGGATTAAGTGATTATCTAGAGAATTTCAATCAAGTTTCAGGATGGAGACAACCTTGGCTGTATTGTTGATACATTTAGGTGCAACGTATTCCAAGACTTTTCACCCATTCCATTGTGCACTCATCCTTATCTCCCCATGATTTCTCAGTGACTTTCAATTCACTGATCATGTCTTTCTGAATTGGCTCCAGGGGTTGATAACAGGCATCACTTTTTCCAGGTTCTCTTCCTTCTTCAGGATTGATTCCAGTTGGCTCTGAATGGGTTGCTGCCTAAGTCCATTCTTTTCAAGGTGGTTAACACTCCTCCTTCTAATCAACCTTTACATGAAACCACTGGGTGAAGTTATTATATTTCACAACCCCTAAGCAATCCCTTAGGCTGGCTAAGTGAGGCTGTTAAAATCTTATAATTGTTATATCTCACAACCTCTAAGCAATCCCTTAGGCTGGCTAAGTGAGGCTGTTAAAATCTTATCCCAGTGACGGCTGTGGAGGCCTAAACAGAGAGAAACCCACTCCAAGTCAGTCCAACATTGAGTGGCTGTGGTGGGGACCCTTCTATCTTTTATTTTGGGTAAGGTTCCACTTCTCCATTCAGGAGTTATGTGCAATCTGGGGGTTAAATATTTGTTTAAAATGTTGAAAAAGGAAGATAAAAGGTAAATGGAAATGGAAATTCACACTTTGAAAGGAAAGAAAAATAGACAAGAAAAAATATATAAAGAAGTGACATTCAATATTTTTATATATAGTCGACTTACAACAGTTCGTTTAGTGACTGTTCAAAGTTACATTGGCACTTAAAAAAGCAACTTATGACCATTTTTCCCACTTATGACCGTTGCCACACACCCTATGATCATGTGATCAAAACTCAATGCTTGGCCTATTTATGACAGTTACCATGTCCTTGGTGATGATGATCCTCTTTAGTGACCTGACAAGCAAAGTCAAGGGGGAAGCTTGTTAAGATTTACTTAACAACTGTGTTACAATCTTAACAACTGCAGTGATTCACTTAACAACTGTGGCAAGAAGGGTCATAAAATGGGGCAAAATTCACTTAACAAATGTTTCACTTAACAATATATATTTTGGACTCAATTGTGGTTGTATGTTGAGGACTACCTGTAAATAAATCCAAATATTTGAGTAGGGTAAAAGCATGTATCTAATCACTGGTAAATAATAAAAAGGCCTA